AAGGGTTATTTAGCATGGCAACGTCTTAGATACAGCCCATATAACAAGAAGCCCAGAAGTGGGGCAGCCTTATGTCCTTTTAGCTTAAGGTTCAATGCAGACTGGATGATCGCTCACACCCTCGGGGGACAGGTTACCCTGCTTTTCCCCAATAGAAAGGATTCAGATAAGGCTGCCAGCAGAATACATCACAACAAACGTATCGCACACACATGAAAACGAAAATGTCAGCTAAATCTAGGACATTTCCTGACATGGACGTTTATTGAAGAACTAGGCTGAGTGTCTTCGATTTGCTTCCGCTTTGATGAAGTTTCTTGCTAATGAGAAGAGCTGACTGAAAGTATTTTAATACAGGACTTCATGCAAAACCTGAATATAGCTTTTCCTCCCACTTCTATCTTATATATCATGGCATTTTAGTACAATTGTGGCCTGATACTTGTACTCACCCATGACAGCAAGTCGTCTCCGATCTGATCAATAACTGAAGAGTCATTTCTCTTCCGAACAGCAGTCATTCGCTCAAGTATTGAAACTGAAGAATAGAGGATGTGAACCGAATTAGGGTCAACAAAAAATAGAATATAGAAGAAAAAAAAATTAAATACAACATATAACTTGATCTTAAAAATCTGCATGCAATTAGACTGAGTGGAAGTGTTATCCATGCTATGCAGTGCCACGGTTGGCAGACAGCTTTAACAACAACTTCAGAGCACTGCTGCAGACAGACGGGTGCTGGGCTCGTCCCCTCACTAGCAGCTGAACACTGCTGAGTTCACTGCTCAGAGCTGACCTCTAAGCAACCTGACATTTAGTGCATATGATGTTGCACAAGCTCCAAACTACAACCAATTAGCTGAATTTTGCAACCGCTTTCTACAAGCTACAAGCTGAGGCAGTGCAATTGGGAAGGAACGGGGATCTGTGTGAGTGACAGTCTATTTCACGGTTATCGTAGCCACGGGGTTGCAGACGATTAAACCGTGCCGACTGTCGCTCTGCCTGGCTCTTTGCATGTATTTAAGTATTTTTCAGACAAAATGAACAATCAGCCATGTGAGACGACAGTCCCACATGAATGATGAGGTGAGCATGTGGAATCAGGAGGCAAAGGTTTGTCGACATTAAACAGTCTGAGAGATAAAAGCAGTGTGAAGACCGAAGGGCCAGAAACTTCCTATGGCTGTGGATACTTTGCAGAAATTACTTTTTTTACTGAGTCAGCATGAAAGACACTGAAACGCATCTAACCACGCTGTAAAGCAGGAACTGCTGTTCATTACACAAGTCACATTTATCAACAGAGTCTGGAAACCAATTAACTTAACTAAATGCTTGGTCTAAAACAAACAGCTTAGCAAACCAAAATACAAAGCTGATGTTGACTTGTAGAAAGGACAGGATTTATGTGAAGAGATTTACTTTTTTTAACGATGTGTTCACTATTAAAATTCCTTTCATTTCACACATATCATACAGCAATTCTGCCCAAAATAAGAGTGATGAATAGACATGAACATGTTAAAGTAGTTCTGCTTTGATATGCATGACATCATGCTATTGTACTTTTGAAGAGTTTTTGCTGCTTAATAAGGGTTTAGTAAATCAGTGTGTCTGTTTGGATGCGTACCATGTAGCTGTAGGACCTCATCTAGGTTGGTGAAAATATTTTTGATGTCAGCGGGAGGAAGGATTGCATCTTTGGAAAGCTTCTGATAGAAAACGTTGTCCAAAACTTTCAGCATCCTCACGTGTGCACGCTCCGTGTAGAAGAGCTCTGCAGGCACAATGAAACATTTTGTGTTAACTCAACAGAAACTTGAGATGGAACCTATAGCAATAACTTCCCAGCTTCCTCTCAGTCGCCTCATCAGTCTCTCGTACAGCACGTTATTGGAAAAACCTGCTTGATAGGATAGATGTAGCTTAACAATGTTGTCTCCTCACCATTGATGACTTCCTGTCTCTTGATTTCATGAGGTCTGAGACCTGCAAGAACTTCTCGTCCAACCAGTTGCTGCCAGTTTGGGGGATCATGCTCAGAGTCTGTCCCCTGGTCATCCTCACTCTGAACATCAGCAGGACCAAATCCCTCAAATCTGGTTCAACAGAAAAGTAAATGTTTATTTCTGACTGGGCCAGATGGATTTAAAGCATTAAAGTCACAATCATCAGGTACACTGACCTTCTCATTGCCTTTGGTGTTCCATCATGAGCTCTAATAAAAAGAAAACATCAATAATGAAATTAGTGATAAGAAATATGGTATCCTAACATCAGTTAACGAATCCAAGACTGTAAATGCACCTGTCACTTTCTCTGTCATCCTCTTGTAGTTGGTCCAGGCTAAAAAGGTCCAGGTGTGGAGCAGGATATGGCAACCCGTCCAAAGGGTCCGACTGAAGACCGTCACTCAGCCTGGAGGGGGCTGATAATGGAGTTCCACCTAAAAGTCAAGGAGAGCCTAATTGAATAACTACTGAAAGTAAAACTGATGCAGAATCTGTACAGGAACCATTTATTCAATGTGTAATTGTTTACATTAAGCTTTTCCTAATTGGGACCCAGGGAATTATGTGTCCTACATGATGTGATTGATCGGCTCCTAAAAGAAAGATCAGAAGAGCCAAACGAATGTTTCAAGAGGGGCGAAGGCTCATCTCACCTCATCTTATGTAGCTTGTTAACAATTGGTTAAGTTTAAATTTTATAGACGATATGTAGGTCAGGCAGGAGACCTGTGTTCATTTTAAAGCACGCCAAATCTGCATCTGGTAACAGTGATGACAATACTGGAAGCTCTGTTAGCATTTAAATTCATCTTGGCATCATTCATCGCTGACTCGTCTGTTCCTGACAGATCTTGTGTTAATGATGTATTTTGAAATGTTGCTGTAGCTTAACAGTACTGAGCAGCTGAAGTTGTTTGTTGAGATGAAAACTGCTCATTTCAACAAGATACACAGTCTCAGTTTGAGATTACAGACAGCAGGGGTTTAATAACGGTTAGTAGAAAGAAAGGCTCCTCTCAGTGGCAACAAGTGAGGAAATAAACGGCGGTGTATTTAAGCATAGCTGTGTGTTATGTACAGATATTTAGTATAAATGACATTTTACACAATGACATTTCCTAAGAGGTAAAATATCGGTTTCGTTAAAAAAACACAAAAATTAAATGCTTATAATACACCACTGGGTCATCAGTTTTGTCAAATTTTAAAATGTAATATCTGAGTAGAATAGCATTTTATAATGATGCTAAAATTGGTCTTTAGACACATTCATTTTAAAGTAAAAGTGACTATTCCTCCACTCCAATCATAGAAATGGGACAAACGGGAACCTTTGCCATTTTCTTATTTCATCATTTCATGTAAGAGCTCACCACCATCCATGTCTCGGTTAGAGTCAGAGCTGTAGGTGGCGCTGATCGGAGAAGAAGTGTTGACAGGCGTGGAATTGGTGAGTTCGGAGCCCTCGCTGGACTGGCTGCCTCTCAGACGACTGGTTTCCATGTGCTCATTGGCTCCCAGTGCAGGCTGAGAAAGCTGTTTCTGAGGCCGGGGGCGACTGTCCGCGGCTGTACCCACAGCATTCAAAGTGGTTTGAACATTAAAAAACAATAAAGGTCTTCATCCACCATTACCATTTCCATTCATATAATCGCAATCTCTTACCTGAAGCTGATTCAATGCGACTGGGCCTACGCTGAGGTGCAAGGATACTAGGGAATCTTTTCTTAACTTTATCATCTCCTTCTTTTTCTGTCTTGTTGCTTTTCTGCAGGTCGGAAAAAATTATGACAAAATTGTTGATAAAAAAGGGAAAAGAAGAAACACAAGATGCAAGAATTACAGCAGTACCTTCTTCTTAGGAAGAAAGCTGATCCGAACCCGTTTGGACTCCAGACTGCGAGGTTCCTTAACCCTCACACCAAGGTGCTTCATGTACGTATAGATGACATACTGTATCGTAGTGCTTAATGAAAAACAGAGTATCAGCAATTGAGTTTGATTGATATCTGAATTCGTACCAAAGAAAATAAGGCAATGTAAAATGGGAAGAAAGCAAAGATCTATAATGTGATTTTCACCATATGTCAAACCGGTTGTTCATATGCCATTTCCACACAAACCATCTGCGCTGCTCTGTGACCATGTGTTATTTCAAACCCAACTGCTTCAACCAGTCACACTTTTTGAATGATTTATCATAAACATGCATAAATTACATGTTTTCTTTCAGAGAGTGCCTGGATGTTTGATTTGTAGAGCTTTAATGACATAAATACGTTCGCCTGAACCCGTTAGTGGTCGACTACATAAGCGTTTTAAGATAATGGATGACTACTAATTAGATTGCACAATATAGCTTGTAACGATCAATATAAGAGTTAAATGGTGTCATAATAAAGAATATTGAAACCAACATTTAACTACAATCATTATGGACAAGTGGCTTACAACAGTTACATCCCTAAATGATCTCCTTTATGCATTTCAATGATGCACATCAACTCAAAAAAGCAACCAAATGACACAACTCTTCTTACCATTTTTCCTCCTCTGTTGTCTGAGTAGTTAGCCTGCAAATAATACAATAAAGAAAATGAGTAGGCTGCAATAATGACAAAAGCACATTTCTGAATGTGCTACTTACAGGATGTCGTCTATTTTGGTGATGATGTTTTCAGCATATGAACGTTCTCGTTCTAAAGTGATTCGGTCTCTGACTCTCTCCTGGTCCAGTCTGGCCAGCTCAACTTCGGCCACTGTTAGGCCCATGCTGCGCTTCTGCCTGCATGTAAACAAACATGAGGTGATCAGTCCAATTCTCCAATTTGAATTCATTCAGTTTTTTTTATTTTAAAGGAAAAAACATAAGTACGTAAAAGTAAAAAAAAAAGTTATAGTAAAATGTTATTTTCAAATTATTAGTATACTGGAATACCAATATTCCCCAAATTCTGCAATAATTGACAAGCTACGAAATGACTAAAACAGTGTTCAGAATCACTTAGTTTACCTGAAGTCCTCCAGGTTTTTCTGAATCTCAAAAAGCAGAGAGTCCTGCAGTGTTTGGACATGTTGCCTGTGTATTTCCTCTGGGATCAGTTCTGTCCTCCGTCTGTCTGCAAAAACATACACACACACACACACACACATTTTAATGAAGATTTCAATGGTAAATAAGATAAGGTGAAAACAGTGACTGAACTCGCTGTAGAAACAATCCCACAAAGTATGAGCTTAGCATGAAACACTTACCTAGATCAGCAGAAACAGACTCAGGAACGGGAACTTTTAAATTCTGCAACACCAAAGAACAACTAAATTAGGGGTGAAGGCCAGACATACACAAGTCCAGCTTCACATTAGATGGCCAGTAAGATAAAGAACAGTACAAATAAATATAACACCATAATTTCCTGTGAAAAGCCCAAAAGATGCAAATGTACCAGCTTTTTTCTTATCTATGAGGATCATTCCATGTTTTTGAAAAAGAATTATAGCATGACAAAATATCAAAACAACCAAAAAAGCTTTATTGTCTCTTTAGTTAAATGTCCAGGCAGCATAAGCACAACATACAAGTCACAATCAGGTCTCCATGTTGTTGTGCACCTTGTGAACAGTGATGGACAAGAGTATCTTTTATTCTAAAGTCTAAGAAGGAAAAATGTAACGCTTACTGCTGCCCGATCCATGAAAAAGTTGTGGAGGTCCATGAAAATCCTTCTGGTCTCTTTGGAGTTGGTCTGCTTAAAGAGGTCAGCGAAGAGGTAGCACAGCTAAAAACAAGAGCATGAGGATTAACAACAAATACACAAATAAACTCTGCGGCAGAGGATCACGGGTTGCATTAAAACAGCTAATCATCACACACAGAACGAACAAAAAAAGTGTTCACGGAGGGCCTTACCACAGGAGCAGGGTCAAACTGTGAGATGACATGGTGCAGAAAGGCTGCGAGGTGAGCAGGGCGAGACTTGAGCTGCTCAATACTGTTAAAGCTGTTACACTGGCAATTTGTCTGAAACACAGTCAGTACAACAGTTTACATGTGTGTCATCAGTTTTTTTTTTTTTTTCAAAGAAAAGTTACATTTCTGTACTTGCTGGTTGGTTTGGGATGATATGGAAAAAACCTACCTGGTCTGGATCGAACTCTTCGTCTTCAGCTCCAATGATTTGTGAGACAAGGCGAGAGGAGGAGGGACTGCTGACCGTGGTGGGAGACAGAGAGTCCTGTAGCAAAGAAATTGCTATTGTTAAATCATCCGTCTCTTTCACAGATAACCCTCCTAAGATTCATATTATTTGTAATTTGATGGTGTTTGGCAAATACACTAAATAACAGAGCAAATAAAATAGTGTGCAGAAGGTTAGAACGACAGGATCAGATACCAAGTCAGTGACATCCTCCGTCTCTGGGGAGTGGCAGGAGTTGATGCTGTTCCTAGGTGTTGTCTTCGGGCTGGAGCACAAGGAATCTCTTGGATACTGCCCCTCCAGAGATCCGTGCCCAAAGATGCGAGGTGTCTGGAAGCAGGATGGTACTTATATGATTTTTGAATAAACTGAGCACTAAGAGGAATCACGAGATAGCCATCAGGACTTACAGAAGAGTTACTCCAGGACAGCTCTGTGCTATTGTCTCCCTTTGGGCAATGTGTGCGCTCTGTCAGACATATGCTGCCATCATCTGCATCACCACCTGAAATAGCCTCCTGGGGAATTGTGCAAAATCAGGATTTGGTAAATAACTATGAACAGACAGCAGGGCAAGTTCCCAATCAACACTAAGGGACACATTACTGCAAATGAAAAACCAATAAAAACACACAACAGAACACTGACATTATGCACATAACACAAGACTGATGTCAAATAAGCTGTCAAGCAGACACAATAGAGTGGCTCCCCACAGAGAAATACTGAGCCTCTGCTGGGATTAGGATTAATCTTTGTCTGGAATGATCGCTAAATGCTCCACACAAAATTACACAAAGACTGCTGGGATCTTTCAGGCAGATCTGTGTTAGTGGATTTCCTGTTCTGTGGTCTAAATTTGCAAGTTACTACCTGTATTGTCCCTGTGGCCTTGAAGAGCTGACCCTGCAGCTGAGGAATGTGTTTTTTAGCTTCCTGGATGTCTTTCAGTAGTTTGGGGGAGGGGTTCCTGCTGTACTCCTCCTTCATTGCCTGGACAGCATGCGAGGAGAAATGAAAACAAGGACAGGAGCAAAAACTCCCTGAGATTAGTATGCTGTCAGGGAACACAGAAAGCCACTGATTCATAACAGACCAAAATGAATCAGTGAGTGAAAACCTGACCACAGATAATTTGCATGAAAACAGCTAAACGTGTGGATACTACTTGTCTAATAATTTTCTATAAAAAAACATTGCTCTGATTACCTCATGTTAAGCATACTGTAACATCTTAAAGAGCTTTCTTATACATAACCAGGAAAGAAGTGGGGCAAAGCTACACTCCTCCACCAAAACCAACACTGAAAACAGCATAACAATAGAAGGCTCTAAAAAACAGCCATTGTTGTGCTAACCTGAAGCTCCTGCTGCTCTTTTGAGAGCTTCTTTTGCAGGATGTCAGCCTTCTGGTTGCAGACACTGCTATTCTCATCCTAGTGAAGGGGACAAAAAAAGAAAAAGAAGTTGAAGAGCAGTGTGTTGAACACGTGTTACCTGTTTAGACAACAGCGGGGAAACGGGAAAGCAAACATTGTGAACTTTATTTCGATACATTGCTTAAGAGCTCTGAGAAACCATTTTATCAAAGAAACATTTTTGATGATCAATTAAGAATCCAGCACTTTCAAGCCCGAATGGAAAAAGACTGGGAAAGGAAGAGGAGTCTGGAAAACAAAATCTTGTTTGTGGACAGCAGTGAAAGAAAGATGAAATCTTTTGTACCAATGACTGTTGAGAGGAGAGGCGGTCCAGAGGACTGTATGGGCGCTCCGCTGCTGGGGAGTTTGGAGATGATATGCTAACACCCAACAGGTCGGGCTCTGTTTCAGGCAAAGGGATCTGGGGAAGCCCTGGAGGGCGCCCCAATACTGTGAGGGCCACATAGGAGCCCGCTAAAATGAAATAGCAAAGGAAATTCAATATTCATATCTAAAGTTTAATTTCCTTAAAATCTAGACTTTTGTTAAATACAAACAAAGGAACTAACATTTGATAAGTTTCACCACTTCGATGTGATTAGAATGTGTAACGAGGGTCCCGTTAACCTGAAAGACATGAAGGGCACAGTGACAAGGAATAAAATGACAAATACTGAAAAAAAAGTAGAAATAATGAGTGACCAGAAGGTGGCAGCATAAAGCCTCAATATCAGAAACATGAAGAAGAGAGGCCCTGAATTTGAAGAAATGGAACTAGATGAACACAATACCTTGATGATCCTGTCTCCTGTCTGAACACCTGCTCGCATAGCAGCCCCATCTGGCAAACACAAAGGAAAGACGCCATTGATGCAACATAGGAAGAAAAAGAATCAATGAAAAAGCTAGATAGATTTTTGGCAGAATGGGATAAGAGAGGAAAAACACATGGCTTCAGGGGTCAGCAGATATTTTGAACAATGAAAACACTTTTATTGTATTGACAGACCAGATGTGGCAAAGCGACTATTTTCAAAGACCATAACAGTGGTTATATTACAAGAATGACCTGTTTCACAGCTCCACCCCAAACAAAGGGATTTAGGCATGAGACAGGTTATTATGAGAGCCACGTCTGACTCTTGAATGAGAAGAGGAAAGCTGGAGCGGTTTGTGAGACACAAACAAAACTGGTGGTCGACAGATTTACGCCAATAAGAAAAATACTGCTAAACTAATGCTACCCAGCTCAGTAAATAACCTGGGCTGAGTTGGTATCATAACAGGAAAAGCTCATCTAAAACCTTTGGACGTATTGTCACACAGAACCACACAGAGTTAGCTGAAGCAACAAACGGCAATATAAAATCGTGGATACATTTGATCTGCTTTAAAGACACAATACAGTGAAATGGAAAGATGCTGTATAAATTATTTAGATGAGAATAATTGGATTGCTTTTTGTGTTGGGTGACTAACAAACGCCCAAATGGTACGCCATGACAGGACAGTTCAACACTGCTCAACGTTGATGACAGTGCAACAAAAGTCCTCGATCAGTTCCTTCCTCTTCTTTCTCTCCCCATCTGTACAGTCCATGTGGTGTTTTCTGTGACCTGATAGCAGGACCACATCATTCTCCGCAGACAGCCCCATGAATACTAGAGGCCACAAGAGCATCCTGTCTGTTTTTAAAAGCCGGTATTGAACTGGGGAAAAGGGCGTTTCAGTGAGCTGCTGCGTCTGTTTGGAATCTGAGGGAGCGGGTTTCATTTGATGAATTAGAAGAAGAGCAAACTGTGGATTCACAAACATCCGACTACAAATGTTATGGATGGCTATCATTTTTCTGACTTGATGCCAATTTGTAACATCTTGATATTTCTGCATTGTTCAGATTTAGAGGTCTGTTTTTGTCTGTGTAGTTTATTCATAATAAGCAAACATCCTGTATGTATTGTGATGTGTGCTTTATGCGTGTTGACTGAGATGCTCTCTGTGGGACACTGGGCACTGATACTGGCAATCAACAGCAACAGCCCAACCTGCTTATTTAACTGGATCATCATTCTTCTCCTAATACACAGGAAGGCCAGCGGAACTAAGTTATTGACTGAGGCCCGTCCCCCTATGTGATATTGTCAACCAAATGAGAATGCTACCTTTTAGGCCGTTTTCTGTGGGGGATGATTGTACATGTATGGTCTGCTCACAGCACACACGTTGTGTCCAAGTCATTTTAATGCAGTCTTTACTGATTTTAAAGAGATGCTTTTTCCGAAATGTGGCAGTATCATTGATATTCAAACTTAGCTTTTAGCACCAAGGCCCATTGGAGAGTAGTTAAGTACATACATGGAGCATTGATATGATTCTCATATGCACTTTGAGTGAGTTAGCTCTGTTAGTCAGGATTAGAAATACCAAGAGTTCTACTTTCTTAAAAAAATTCAAAAGTTGAATAGCATCAAAAGTCTGTGTAAGACCAAGAGTTGTAATGACTGTCTTAACTACCACTTAAAACTGTGTGTTCCAAGAAAACTTCCATTATAGATAAATGTCAAGGCATGAAAAAGGAGCTTGTGTCTCTATGAAAAAGGCCCAGACCAGAGGGGTTATTCTAATAACACCTGGTTCTTTTCCTTTTAAATTTAAGACTTAACCTTACCTTCTTTGACAAGCTGCACAAACACTGGGTTGTCACCACTGACAGTGAGGCCAAATCCATTTTCATCTTTTTGGATGATTACACATCGCTGCACCAGACCTGCAAGCATGATACAGAGCAGACACAAAACGGCGTGTTTACAAAGACCAGGAAGCCATTAAAGGATGTTTACCTGAGTGTAAAGTCGGTATCACACATAAAAAAAAAAAACTAAACTGAACGGTACAGTGAAGATATTTCATTAAGTAATGACATTTTTAAAGTTGGGAAAATCTTTGAAAAACAAATCTTTTTTAAAACAAAGTCCTTGAAGTTTTCTTTGTAACTTTTTTTAAGCTCATTATATATGAGGTTGTATCTGAAAGAAACATCACTCATCGGACGCTCTTGTTTTCGTTTCACGGCTCAGACGGAACATCAGATCTTAGTGCTTATGGCTTGAAGACTAAAACTAGACTGACAGGACTGCTAAAAAAAACATAATGTAAGGAATCCAAAATACGTACATGCGGAAGATCTGATCGCTAGATTTGCCAAAACAAAAGGTGGGCTGATGCCCTAATAATAACAAGGAGCTTAAAAACAGGTCTATAAAGCAGAATTGATAAGTGACCCAGACTGTGAGGGGAAACCTGCTTTCCTGTTTTACCCCTAATCAGTGAAGAATCAACAACAGTGGTGCGCCCATCAATACGGGTGAGGTGGGGGGTTGGAGAATGGAGGAAACAACAGTTAATACGTGTGGTGTGATTGGGGGAGCCAAAAGGTGCAGGCTGGGGAGGTGTGAGAGACGGTTAGGTAGAGCTGAGGGAGCAGGGGGGCGGGAGGGCACGGGTGTCGAGGAGGCAGAGGACGTCATATGAGTTTAAGAAAAAAAAGAACTGGTGTGAATTTGCCTTTTATCAAAACATTTCATTCGCAACAACATTTTATTGATCTAGAAGTGGTATTTCTGGACTCAGAGGGCAGAATGTAGGACTGGTGTAGTATTCAAATGTTAAACTGATGTCTAATCAGCACCCTGCATGCATGAGGAAATGAGAGTAAACTGTCCCCGTTTTTTCCCCTGACAGTGTGCTTTTACTTATACGCTTAAAAAAAAAAACTGAATTCAAATCTTAATTCTGAAAGAGTACATATTTAAAGTCTGAAATGCTACTCTTTGATTCTTCATTAGAAGCTTTGCTAAGTTGTAAATTCGTGCATTCACAGACCAAACAAGAAATTCAGAACACACCCACGCTTTTCTACTTTTCAAAATTTAAGTTTTATCTTCAGGAAAAGCCATAAATGAACACAAAGCTGTCAACTGTTTTGACAGCTGCCTTAAGAACAAGTTTTTTTGTATACTTCAGTCTGACATCAGGTACATGCGACAAGTAACTTTAGTCAGAGATTTTCATCATCATTTGTTTCTGTCATAAAGCTCGACTCAATCGAACTCAATCTAATTTAGCCCCAGATGACATAAGTAGCACGAGGGAGCAGCTGAGGAGCGACAACAGCCCTCTCATACCACAGGGGTGATGAAGACTCCATAATGACCCTGTTAACACAAGTCATCGAGCCCACGGGGAGCACAGTTTTACACCGTGTGTAAATAAGCACCTGTGGGGTTGTAAATGCAGCTTTTCTCAGCTTTACTGATCTTAAAAGTGCACTTGATTGAAAAGTTACAGAAGTATTTGAGACCTGTCTCAAGGAAAAAGTAAAGAGTTAATAAGGATTGTAGTAATCCTCTTTTTTACCAGCTCTAAACACAAATAGGATCTTATACAATGACTACGACAGGCATTAGCATCTGTTCCTAAGACCTTAATCTTGGCTGCTGTGCTGAAAGAACTGTTTGGATCACAGTCACATTTATAACAGCAATCAGAAATATTTTTTAAAAGATGTACAGTATTTAGTGCTTGCTGCTCACATGAAAATCAACAAAAAGACTGCTCAGTGCTTAAGCTTTAGTTAAACAAAATTAGTGACATCATAATGAGACAGACGCTTGACGAATATAACCAAAAAACGAGTTAATTCTGTTATTTTCTAGATTGAATAACAGTCTGATAATTTGATAACGAAATATGTTGATTGCGTTCAAAGCACCATAAATGAATCTTTCTTCAGCATTATCTTAAGTGTTGCTGTTTACAAAGTAGTGAAAACCCATCCCGAGGAGGCTCAGTTGGTACCAATCTTTTGTCATTGATTTTGTGCCCAACTTAGACCTCTCTGAGCGCTCCGAATTATCTCATGTAAAAAATAAAAAAAACATACAGCTAAGAGCAATTTCACACCAGGATCTCAAAGCTGTCACACCGGCCATTCCAGCGAGAGCATCTTACCACAGGACTCAGGCCTCCCCTCTGCTAGCACAGTGCTGCTGCCACTCTTCTGCACCACCAGAGCTTCTGAACACAGCCCCCACCAGACAGCGCAGCAGAGCACAAACATACAGAGGAATAAACAAAAACCAACACATGGAAAGGAAACACAAAACAGGAAAGAGAATATCATGAGGGAGGAACAATAATGGGAGAAGAAAAAAATAATAAACAAATAGAGTGTTTAATAAAAAAAAAACAATGGTTTGGAGAAAAGAATGCTGTCACTCAAATTTTCTAGCTTGCTTTTGAAACGTTTTGGGACTTTTGACCTCGATTTGATAAAGCAGTTAAGTACACAGGAAGAGAGAACGTCAGGGAGTGACACAAAGACAACGGCCGTGGGCCTGAACTGGGAAAATTTGCCTCATCATATCAGGAGCTAACCTCCTTTCAGCACCTTTTTTCCCCCACATAAACCCACTCCTACATGTGGAATATCACCAGCCTATTGTCATTCTAGTTACGGGTTACATTTGAAAATGAATACACATCAGAGTAAAAGAAAGAGTTTTGCTAGACGTCATGTGATGAGGAAAACCATACTATTTTTTATAAGGGAATTGGATCATTCTGTTTACTAAACTTCAAACAAAAATTTCAGCGCATTTCGGTCCTTTAGAATTAACAATATGTTGTTAATTCTTTTGAAACAGTGAATATCAACCGTCAGTTTGGATGTGCGTCTTTAGGGTGTCTGATTACGTCTGTACATTCCTTCACCCCCCAAACCACTTTATAATCATGACAGAAAAGGAGCCATCAGAAGAAAAAAAAAGGAAGTTGGAGTCCATGCAACATGCAGATAAATAAAAAGGAACTGTGCAGACGAGGCAAATGTCATAGCAGTTACCCAAAAGCGAACAGGGCATATAAATACACGGACACCTATGGGAAAAGATTCTGGTTAAATACAAAAACACTCCTCTTCTTTGTGGCTATGAGGGACCAGAGGTATGTTTAAATCACTGCATCGCTCCACACATGTCCAGAGCCATCACAGCAAGGCCAATAAAAAGGTTCAAATCTGATAATACACAGAGTTAGTAAAGGGCATGTCTTGTGTAACCACTGAGAGGACATATCTTGTCTGTGTTTTGTTGCATCATAAAAGAGATAAGCCACCGTGCTGTGCAGCAGATATTCTGTTCTGTTATGAATACAGAGGCTTTGGTCATATCTCACATCCCACCGACCTGGTTGCTGACAAATACCGATGGGAATGTCACCATATCAAACAAGTCTGTTGTCAGAAAAGTTAAGAATCTGAACCTGCAATAAACTTTAGACTGGGGAGCGTGATAGGCTTTAGTCGTATTTTGTGACCCTCATTTATCCATGCCAGATGAGACCACCCAAACACTGCGAGTATGAAAAAGCCACAGGTTTATGTAAAGCTGCGAGAACCCTGTCAACATAACATATACAGCAACATTAATGACAAAAAAAACTTTCTCTGCTTCTCAGTTTCCATCCTGCAGTAAACAAAACAAATGACTTATTCGACTGTGTGTGGGCGGGTTACAGGGAAAGACAGACACAATTGAAAGGAGATATACTGAAAAATAAGGTAGCCACTACTGCTGATAATGACTAATGAAGAAGGCAGCGTCCGACAGGCGGAACAGAGAACGGAACAGGTGTGTGAGGTTATAAATGAGCATGAAAATTTACCTGTAGGGTCAAACTCATTGGAGGGAAGTGAGGTTTTGTCACTTTTGGGTTTCTTGTCTGGGGGATGGTCTTTGCTGAGAATGCTGCTGGTTCTAAAGAAAGAGGAAGATCTGTGTGAAACAGGTAATGCGTTTGACTGGATGACGCAAAACCAGAATGAATCAAGTATGTTTGTTGACATGCAACTCTGCCAGTTTGCTTTTTGAAAGAACTTTCCGGTGACAAAATTCATTGTATTACATTCGGTTTGGCTGTGACGCTGCTCTGCGTGAGCACGAGTCTCAGGCATGTGAATATTTAGGAGAAATTACAGCAACAGAAAGAACCAGATTGTTCAGTTTGGGATTGAGAATAATGTAGCAGGAAAGCCTTTCAGTGAATGAATCATGCTGAGTGTGTCTACTGTATAATGTGACAGCTACAGAGGATGTGGAGCCACTCTACTGAGTACCCAGAGAGCAAGGCCAGAGAAAGGGCACTCCTCAGTGGTGATGCCACTAGGCCAGACTCCGACTTGAACCTCAGGAGGCTATGTATGGCTGTCTATGCCTATACTGGCCCCAACAGTGAAAGGCCACTGTTCTGTTCACTGTGAAAGGCAGTGATGGGCCGTCCAAAGAAGAGGGACCCCTTTGTCCCTCGCTCTGGAGTGGGGGTTGGTGGGTTATGTTTGGTCCAAATTCAGAAGACTTCTGTGTTACACCACACCAGGCCCAGTAAAACTTCCCCCATTTCCTTCAACTGGAGGTCTGTTTGCGTTAACTGGTAGCGTGTTCCCACAAGATTACCTTGTCATGGATGCGTCTACAATTAATAAGAAACAGAAAAACATTCTTACCGGATTGCTTTCTTGTTAAACCTGGAAAAATAAAACAGAATGACAGTTAGTATTGAACTTCAATGGTTCAACAGAGAAAACACCAACTGAGCCGTTTATGGCGATACATAAAGTGAAAAACAAGATAGCATGCCGACTGCTTCTCCTAAAACCCATGTTGTGGTAAACATGATAATCCTGATCAAACATCAGAGTTCTTCAGCTGCAGATTAAAGCCTTTTCCAGGTCAAATATTCTGTGGCTCCCTGATCTCTGCTATGCATGTGTGCGTGTCACAATTTAGTATCACACGGGCAGCACAACTTCTCTGTAATAATCATAATAATCACATACGGGGCCTGTTTCCTTCTAAGCAGCCTGTCATGACATTTGTCAACTCCCCGAGTAAGGATTAAATAATTAAAGAATACTTTGAGGACTATATTACACGGGGAAAAGATTTCAAGGAAGCCATGACATCTGACTGTAAACAATGAAACATGTATTCCTCTCTTTATGATAGTCCTCAGGACCGAAAAGTAAAGCTGGTGATCTCAATGGATTGAGGCAGATGTTAGGGGTTAGCATCATATGGCTATAAAGATAAAAACATTAAAGTTATTACACAGAATGCACACGTACTAAAAATCAGTCCAAGTGTGAGTGGCATCCATGCCACATTTTCATTTCCCCAGCCATTAAAAGCATGTACTCTCTTGTTAGAGGTCTTATTAGACAGAAAAGCCCTAAGCCAATCGTCTGGGTGGCCTCTCAGCTTTATATGAGTGAGCAGTCTATGGTGGGTTGTGCACAGCTGATATCGCCAATATTTCCCCAGAGAGAGGCAAGGAGCCGTGTCTGTCATTTCATGTGCTTTAGTATTAAAAAAGACTTCCAGGGATTTGAAAATTCTATTAGCTACATGGCTGCAGTTAAGTCTAAATTTAGACTGTTTTATTAGTGTTTTGCTGCGATGAAGAGGACAAGATGGCGTCTCGTCATGGAAACAACCTCTCTGTTGGTAAATCCTTTTTTAAACTTTTTATCCCTGGTGTTCAGACATGACTGACTTTAAGTCATGTCTGGCACTGTGTGTACAATATATCCTATATTCTTTGTAAAGAGATTGTTGCAAACGGATGAAAAGGCAACAGAGAGTTACTTAGAAACTGCACCACGCCTCACAGCAATCTAAAAGCTGCGTATCATAGCAAAAATACAGCAGTATGAAAAACACTGAACAACACCAGTCTTCCGTAATGGGGAGGTCTCACAACTTACAAGTCCACATTAATTCTCTTTCTCCTTGTGACACTGAGTCTCATTCACAGCCGTGCAGAGGCAGCTGAATGGCCCGTTTATGAAAATGCCTCAGACTGTAATAAGTTCCAGAGCCTCGACTAGAAGGAGAGAAAAAAAAGGGCTAGCTTTAAGGAGTCCCCTCCCTAAGAAACCTCCGAGCTGGTGAGATGGAAAAGTCAGCACAAGCAAATGCTGAAATTCTACATGTGAATGCACAAGCTAAAGAGACGGCAAGAGTGAGTCGGCAGAAGTTGTGCTCGCTTGATCATACAGGAGCAAATGAAAACGTGACACGTTAACAAAGTTTTAGGAGGCAGGGTGACTTGTCATGTTGTCTATGAGAACCATGCTTGGGATGAACAAAAAGAGGAGATTCAACACTCGTAAATGAGGCGATGACGGAAAAAAAAGATTTAATATGCACAACAGAAGACAATTCCTGCCCAGAAAACAACATTACTGACAGTTCATTAAAAGAACTTTAATGATTATGCATGGGGTGTTAAAGGGAGCTATAAATCTAAGCACGTCAATGACGGCGCTTACTGCGAATTTCAAGAATATCAAAGTAGGGGTTTCGTCACCGTCGTAAATATACAGTAGCGTACTATTTTTCTTCTTAAATTATAGGTACCATTTGTAAACAGCAAACCAAAAATACCTTGCTGCACAGTATCTTCAAACTGCCCCGCCTCAGGCAGAAGTTAGTGACACAAACACACCACTCAAGGGATTAGCTAAAGTTTTCCTTGATGTACTTCATAAGCAGCTCCAAATTAAAGATGACCATCTCTAAATTGGGTTTTCATTCATACTACCAGTGTTTCAACTGTATTTTATACAAATGAGAGGTTCGAATAAAATGGTAAGACATATATGTATATTAGTGTATATGTGTTTTTGTGAATAAAAACCTTTTGTCTGAAAAGTTTCTGTATGTCTCCAGTTCATCTTCATCATGCTTCTTGGGTCAAAGGAAAGCAAATTTAGCATTTAGATATCAGATTTTTTTAAATGACGTGTAAAGACAAATAAGATGTGAATGTTCTTTTGAGGAGCTGTAAAGGTCATTAAACCCAGCATCTCTTACTTCTTTAAAGAAACATTTTAGAAAATGAGAATATGTTTAAAGAGCGCAGCTGGAGTATCACTCTATTCAACACAAACAAATGAACATGGAATCACAGGATTACATAGCGACTCCAGTCACTAACCTCCTCCCTTTAACAAAAAAGGTGCCGACAGCAAACGTCCGATTGCATTATTTCTGTGATCGCTAAACGTTGTAAATGCCTGATGCACAAACCACCGCTGTGGTCCAACACCAGGGTTTGGCGATGTACTTCATTGTTGTTTTCTGTTGTGTAGCTCATGAACGACGTCACGCGCCAGTTGGGCCGTCTTTCTGTCCGGCCATCATTTGGAGTGGAAAACCAGCTCAACCGTGTACGGCTGTGACGGACCGAACCGCGTAGGGCTGAGTGGACATTAATGGAAAAGCGCCATAAATAGGAGCCTCTCCAAACAGTGACCTCGAACTTCACACAGACCTGCTCATTTTGCATTGAAAATCATCACACAGGATTCATGGGAATGACTTGCCAGGTATTTGCTGTATAAAACACAAAGCTTCTCTTAATATGCCTCCCAAGTACACAATTAAAAAATCTGACATTTAGGTCTGAAGTCACACGAACATGAACATAAATGAAAAGTCACAGAATCTTAAAAAGCTTATTGGCACCATATTTTGTGCTCCACAACAACGGCCTGAAACATATGTTAATATTATTGATGCCAGTTGCGCAAGTTACTAATGTTACCTCTACACAGCGGCAGCATTCTCTTTGAGTCTCAAATATTTGTACATAAATCATGGAGGCAAATGTTCTCTGCAGTATTTGTAGGTCTAATAATTATACTGTCAAACAGCAGTCAGAGCAAAACAGAGAAAGAATTTATAAAGTGAAACCCTACTGATCTGATCAAAATAATACCTAAAGCAACTTAAACAAAAAACATCATTACTATGCAGAAAACAATTAGTCATCTTGTGAACTTATTCAGCTGCAGAAAATGAGGGCAAGACGAGGAAAAGAAAAAAGCCATAAACCGGCAAAAAACAACAGCAGCACAGAGCTCTTGTTACAAATAGAAAACTGTGACATGATTAAACAGAAACTTGCATGTCGTGTGAACAGGTATGACATACACTAGTTCATTTTGGCTGGTCAGTTTTTATTCTGCTTAAAACATGCATACTTGACCAAGCCATTTAACTGTTGTCCGAGGAAAACAACTGTCCCAGGTTTCCAGGATATTACACATTCACAGTCTGAGTTTCCCCATTAAAAATGAATTGATAGTGCAATGATAAGCAAACAACAAGAGCTGGGAGCAGTGTTACCAAACTTCCCCTTACAAAACAGTTCTGTCATACAATTTTAACTACATTAAAATCTAAATGTATTTTTAAAAATCATAAAATTGTTTAAGTTTTGCAAATCCGTATCCACAAAAGGTCTGAAGAAGAAAATGCACAAAATTCTCAGAATGCTAAGTACATTTTTCTGGCACATACTGCACCCGTTACACAAGAGGTTTTTGTTAGCCTTTACAAGAAGGGATGAAAGTAGATCTAGAGGAAGCAAAGGCAGCAAGTTCAAATGAGCCTATTTCTTTACAAACACACAAACAACAACAGCAATAAGGTTCTCTGCTTGTAAAATTCATCATATAATATTTCCGTAAAAAAAAAAGTGAGATAGCACGTCTTCCTGGGTTGGGTCACTAAAAATGCAGGGAGTGAGTGAGGGAGAAAGAAGGTAGAGTCAGAACAGGGTGAGATGGAAGGGAGGGGCAGCCTTGGAGCGGGCCTGGGCTTGAATGCGCCATTGAGGTTTGGTGTTATGATGGAAAACTGTGGCAGAGCTGGGCCAACTGCCGCAAAAGTGGCAGCAAGAGAAGCTGGGACCAGAGCAGGCTATAGAGAGAGACGCAGAAGAAAAGGAGGGAGG